TTCCAAACATAGAACATATGTTCTATGTTTGGAAGCACTCCTTAAAATATCCTCTAGATACAGTCAATAAAATAACATAAGCTAACAAGTATTTTGAAATGGTATGAAATAAAAAGAATCAGCCATTTTCAATTGCCCAACTTAGCTTCTGAAAACATCAAGTAAATACAGCCAATGAAACTCCCTAGTTCACCTAATATCTCCTAATCTTGTTAAAGAAAGTAACAATTTATAAGAAAGATGAGCTTCTTGTATATGTTCATAAACTGTCAATAAAGCAAAACTAGCAGTTTCCATCACAGATTTGTGAACAATTCCTACTGGTTGAAACAGCTGATGAATCTTGAAGACAGCCAAGCATTCATAATGAGGCCATCTGGCGACTATCATCAAAATCAGGATGAGCAGGTGGTAAGTCATATTACAGTCATCTGGAATAGACTGTTTTGTGATGGCAGCAGATTCAACAGAATTTCCAACTATGAATTGGATAACTGCTTGAAATGGAGAAAATTGCTGTGGAAAAAGAACTGAATTGGCACTAATTAGACAGTTCTTCAAAGATTACAAAGGCTCAAATCTCACCACCTGCTTTGTTGGATTCTTTTCTATTATTTTTGTGTTGATGCTCTTTCCAGGATGTTATTTCATAAGCTTTGGGAAATAATAAAGTGCTTTTGAAAAAAATCCCTTCTTGCAGGTTAGAAACTTCTTTGAAAGATTTCCATGCCATTATTCCCCAACTGCTGCTCAGTGGCTAGCTTCATCGCACGTGCTTTGGAAAACAATTGGGTTTGAGTGAATTCCTTTATTTTTGCTCAACTAATTGAATATAAAACAAATTTTTCAATTACAATTAGTGAAGTATCTCATAACTTTGCATACATTACATGTTAATAGGATTTGAAAACATATTCAAACATTACAAATAATTCATTTTCATATTCATGTCCTCTTAGAAACAATTTACACCCACCAGCAGAACATGGCACACATCTAGAGAGGTGTCCGTAGTCAAACTTGTATCTGGCAAAATAAGAACATTTTAAGCATAGAGGTTTTGACAGAGGCTGGATACACTGGATCTGTTTTCCCTGGAACATAGGAGGTTGAGGAGTGATCCTACAGAAGTTTGGGAAATCATGAGGGGCATAGATGAGGTAGGTGAGTTCAAAACTAGAGGGCATAATTTAAAGGTAAGAGGAGAAAGATTTAAAAAGGACCTGAGCAGCAGTTTTGTCCACAGAGGGAAGTTCATAAATGATCTGCCAGAGGAAGTGGTAGATGCAGGTACAGTGACAACATTTAAAAGCCATTTGGACAGGTACATGAATAGGAAGGGTTCAGAGGGATATACCCAAGCACTGGCAAATGGAACTGGTTTGGAAAACTTGGCCAGCATGGACAAGTTGGAGTGAAGGGTCTGTTTCCATGTTGTATGAGTCTGATGATTTTCTGAGAATGAACATTACCTAAACTTCAATAATGTTCATTTAATCTGAGTATAATGGAAAGTAAATTTCTCTGAGAACTAAAAGAGCATTTACAGTGAATGAAACAAGTAAAAATTATATAGAGCCTTTAATATAATATCCTAAGATGCTTCCTAAAAACATTGTAAAATAAAAAGATGACGCTGCCAGCTCATGAGACATTGGGTCAGATGATTAAAGGCTTGGTCAAAGAAATATTTTGAAGCAATTTAATTCAAGGCAGAAAGCAAAATAGAGTGGGAGAGATGAATGGAAAGAATTCTAGAGCTTAAATCCCAGATAACTGGAGGCATAGTCACCAATGGTAGGGTGATTAAAATTAAGGATGTTCAAAAGACGAGAATTAGATGCTCCCTGAGATCTTGGAAGTTAGCAAGATTGGGAGCAGCTAGGCCCTGGAGGGATTTGGAAACAAAGATGAGAGTTTTAAAATCAAAACCTTCCCTAGTGGGAAAGCAAGCATAGGAGTGTTAGGTGAATGGGAAGTGGTATTAGTTAAATCGCAATCGGCAGCGTTTTGGCTGACCAAGTGTATGGAGAGTAGAATGTGGGAGACTGTCCATATGTGTATTGAAATAGTCAAATCAAGAGGAATAATGCCAGGAGTCAGGGTAATTTTTGAAGTTGGAAGTTGAGTCTGTTAGCAATAGGATGAACATGGTTGGAAACTTGGTCATCAAGGTTATGAATCGACTGGTTTGGTCTTTTTGTTGCCATCATGAGAGATTGAGTTGTTAGCAAGGAAGTATAATTAGGAGTGAGAACACAAAATGAAGGATTCAGTCATCTGTGTCCTTTTGGATAATGCTGCTGAGGACAGCCTATAGGTGAGAGATTGGATGAAGCCTTGGGCATACTTGTGGTAACAGAATGTGAGCAGGAAGAGAAAAGCCTTTGCAAATGATGGATAGGAGGAGTTAGGTTTTCGGCAGTTTAATGGGAATACAGTTAGGGAGCAAGAAGTGAATCTCATGGACAAGACTCCTTCAGAGAGGACTTTAAGGGACATGGGAAAGAAGCTGAAGAAAAATGAGATTTCCGGGAGAGCTCAGTAGACTGGTGGAAGGAAAGGGCATGATAGAGGCAGCTGACTGAGTGGTTTTGACTAGTGATACAAGTCTTGCAAGTACCTCCACACTTCGGATCAAAGCAATATAAACATGAGTTAATATTTTAAGGCACTGCTGTTACAAATGACAGTCTGGTGCTGCTATTTACATAAGCATTTAATAATTGTGAAATGAGCACTTAGAAGAGAACAAAATTAGCATTGTTGTATACTTGTTAGATATGAGAAAGGAACCATTCACAGGAGCTGACACAGCTGCTGGAACAAGTCCGTGCATGGTGGAGGATCTATCAAAAATGCTCCACTCACATTTATAAAGCACCATCTTCAAAAACACACCGTTGTGGAAATAACCAATTACACTGAGGTGAAGGTTATGACCTGAAATATTAATTCATTGCTATTTTCACAGACGTTGTCAGACCTGCCTACTTTAGATTTCCAGTATACATAGTATTTTGCTTTTGTGCTGAAATGCAGTGCACTCTTGTCTTTAGCAAGACAAAAGACAGCAGGACATTTTTAGCTGAGCAGTGCAGGAAGTGTATGGGTGTTCCTTGGCATTATCCTCTTAAGATTATTCTAAATCTATTACAAAGTTCTTGAATGATCTCTAAATTGTAATGCAGATTACAGGACAAGCTCAATATTTCCACTAAGGGCAGAATGACTTTGCCTATCCCTGAGCCAAAAGATAAATGGCATAAAAATTTAGTCACTGGTGCACTCTTGATCTTAATTTACATTTAGCAACATATAGTGCAGATGGAGGCCATTCAGCCCATTGAGAAAATAATTGACTCTCCAAAAAGCACAGCACCCAGACCCACCCTATTCCCAGCAACCCTGCATGTATCATGGCTAATCCTCCATTGAGCCACCCCACCATTACAATTGTGCAAAATTTGGTGAACAAAGTATGTTAATTGGGAAAGGAAGCTGGAATTCTGCCTAGAAATAAAATGTTATCCAATTACAGTTTGAATATTTGATTACAATAAGACATGTTTAGTGTTCAATTATGGAAACCCTCATAATCCACAACAGTGGGTGCTCCTGTGGTACAGAGATAATGTTTCACATGGCATGAGGTGTGTCATAACAACCCATTTGGCTAGGTTAAAAATGTTTTTAATAAACCCAGCCAGCCTATTGTATGGATGTAAGGAGGAATAATTGGAGGATTTCGAAACCAGTGCCAAGCTAGAGTCTGAATTGTGTAAGTGATGCTGCAACAAGTTATATAACTAATGCAATAACAAATTCTGTTTGCAATAATTCCAAATGTAAAATAGACGTAGGTTCATTATTAAAAACACATTGTAATTTGCGAGACGTGGGCATAATGCGACATTTTGAGTTAGTTCTGAATGAGACGGGTCTTCTGTAACACCTAGACATTCGTATGAAACTTAAAATTGCCCCACAGGCGATCATAGATTCTCCTTAAACAGATGTAACAGAAGACTGATCTGAAAACACCCTGTAATAAGCCTTTGATTAAAGGCAAAATATTGGCAATCCTGGAAATATGAAACCAACATGCAAATCTGTTCTGAAGGAGGTAAAACGAGGTTCAGAAATGTACAGGTTAGGGGATTGGCCATGCGAAACTTGTTTGTAGTGTTCAGGGTTGTGTAGGCTCGCCACGGGAAATGTGGGTTTATGGGATAATGTAGGGGCCGGGGTCTGGGTGGGCGTCGTTGGGGCGACGCAGACTCAATGGGCTGCATGGAGTTCCGCATTGTAGGGATTGTACGATTCTAAACTGTGGATGCTAGAGATATGAAGCAAGAATAGAAATTCCTGGAAAAACTCAGCAGGTCAGGCAGCATCTGTGTAGAGGAAAGCGGAGTTAAGATTTCGAGTTAACATGATTTTCTGAAGAAGGGTCTAGGCCCGAAACGTCAGCCTACCTGCTTCTCTGATGCTGCTTGGCCTGCTGTGTTCATCCAGCTCTACACCTTTGTTATGAGAGATAGTAGGAACTGCCGATGCTGGAGAATCAGAGATAACAAGGTACAGAGCTGGATGAACACAGCAGGCCAAGCAGCATCAAAGGAGCAGGAAAGCTGACGTTTCGGGCCTAGACCCTTCATCAGAAATGCTTTAACATTTTGGGTCGAGTGACGCTTCTTCAGAACAGACTCCCTTGTTTCTCCAGCCTTTCTGTATTTGTTATATAAGCCTTGCTCTTTGTTTTTGTTTCCGAACATGAGACATTGGGGGCGAATTGAAGAAAAATGCTGTTTTGTAAATGGTGTTAGCCCTTTGGTGCAGAATGATGGGTCCCTGCTACTTTGGAGCGATTCGGTTGAATAGAGATAGTCGAAAACTGAAGCGGTGAGAAGTAGAACCGGGCAGCACTTTGCGGCATCTGGGTGTGGAAGAGGCGGTGATCGGGGGGGCCGGACTCATCGCTCAGAGCAGACCAATGAATGCGGTTGGGAGTTGGGTCTGTTTGATTCCTTGTGCTTTTTATAAAGGAGCCGCTTCGCTGTTATGAAATTGGAAGTCTGGATAAAGGGGACGGCGCTTTGTTTTGAGCCGGAAATAACGGGAAATCACTTTTTCTTTGTATTGTTTCCAAAACTTTAGAGAAACCTTTCTCACCCCAGGTGCTATGTTTTTGAGTAGCTGTTGATTTACAAGTTTCTGGGAGAACCGGGTTAATTAAGGAGTTAGTGTAATTCTGTATGAACTTTTGCAGAGTTGCTGGAAGAAGATGCTGCTGTTGCTGTGTGCAGTGCTGGGGAGCTGTTTCCTGCTGGGGGACGGTAGGATCACCAGGCGCTCCCCGAGCTGCCCCCAGTTCTGTGATGTGTCTAGCTGCCCGGTGCTGCCCTCTGACTGCTGGTCGGGGCTGGTGCTGGACGCTTGCGGCTGCTGCCGGCTGTGCGGCGCCGCCGAGGGCGAGTCGTGCAACGGCCGCGGGGACGAGGTCAGATGCGGGGAAGGGCTGCGCTGCTCGGTGCCGCCGGCGGTCAACTCGGCCAATCGGTGGATCAAAGGCGTGTGCGTCTGTGACAACAGCGAGCCGGTGTGCGGCAGCGATGGCAGCACCTACCGCAACGTGTGTGAGCTGAAGGCGGTGAGCCGGCGGGCACAGGCACTCAACCAACCGCCCGTCATCTTCATCCAGAGAGGAGCCTGCGGACTGGGTAAGAGTGATTCTGAGATGTGTGCAATTGTGTTTCATGTTGCTTTGTCAGCACTTCTGGAAATGCCCAAGGACTGCACGTACGCATCGATAAATTTATGGACCCGTATACAAAATAGTGTCTGCATACAAGTCAATACGTCCGTATTTTTAAGCATGAGTGACTAATGCTGAAGGCAAGAACTTTCCTTTCATCATACTTTATATTTATTATGAAGTTAGTGACTGTGCATTATAATCCCAGGAACAGAAGTAGCTCATATCAACATTCTTTTGTGATTTTATGCTATCATCCATATATCTAAAATACTGCCCAACTTTGTGTCATCAGCAAATTTGGATAGATGATTTACAATGCCATTATGCAAGTTATTAATAAATAATGTTTATAATTGAGGCCCTATCATTGATCCTTGTGGTTCACAAAAAAACCCAAAGCTGCTGGAAATCAGAAACAAAAACAGAAATTGTTGGAGAAACTCGGCAGGTCTGGCAACTTCTGTGGAGAGAAAGCAGAGTTAACATTTCAGGTCCATCATGCATCAAGGAATTTGGTCCTTGTAGGACATCACTGATTGCATCCTGCCAATTTGAGTATTTGCATATTGCCAATATTTTCTGCTGCTGCCTGACACTCTTCCAGTTTAGAATCATAGTTGTAGAGTCATACTGCATGAAACAGACCCTTCGGTCCAACTAGTCTATGCCGACCATGTTCTCAAACAAAACTAGTTCCATCTGCATGTTTTGGCGCGTATCCCTCCAAACCTTTCATGTACTTTTCCAAATGCCTTTTAAATGTTGTAACTGTGCATGCATCCACTACTTTCACTGGCAGTTCATTCCACACACTAATCACTCTTTTATTTTTAAAAATGCTCCTCATATCCTTTTTTAAATCTTTCTCCTCTCAGTTTAAAAACATGCCTCATAGTTTTGAACTTCCCCACCCTAAGGAAAAAGAACCTTGCTTTTCACCTTATCTATGCCTCTCATGACTTTATAAACCTGTATAAGGTCACCCCTCAACCTCTTACACTCCAGTGAAAAAGGTCCCAGCCAATCCAGTCTGTTTTTATAACTCAAACCTTCCATTCCTGGCAATATTCTAGTAAATCTTTTCTGAACCTTCTCCAGTTTAATAATGTCCTTCCTATAACAAGGCGACCAGAACTGTGCACAGTACTCCAGAAGAGGCCTCACCAACCTCCTGTACAACCTCAGCCTTATGTCCCAACTCCTTTACCCAAAGGTCTGAGCAATTAAGACGAGTGTGCTAATTGCCACCTTAACCATCCTGTCTACCTGTGATGCAAATTTCAAAGAGTTATGTACCTGAACCTCTAGGTATTTCTGTTCTACAACACTGTCTAGGGCCCTACCATTTGCTGTATAAGTCCTGCCCTTGTTTTAGCAAAATGCGATGCCTCACTTATCCAAAATAAACTCCATGTGCGACTCCATCCAGTTGATCTGGATCTCTTTGTAATGTTATCTAATATCTTCACTGTCCTCTATCACCAACTTTGGTGTCATCCAAAATTTACTCACCATGGCTCCTTTATTCTCATCCAAATCATTTATATAAATGACAAATAGAAGTGGACCCAGGACTAGTTCCTGTGGATCACTGCTGGTCACAGGCCTGTAGTCCGAAACATAACCCTCCACCACCATCCTCTGTCTCTTATTGTAAAGCCAATTTTGTACCTTTAAAAAAAAAACCTAAAGAACTGCGGATGCTGTAAATCAGGAACAAAAACAAAGTTGCTGGAAAAGGTCAGCAGGTCTGGCAGCATCTGTGAAGAAAAAATCAGTTAACATTTCGGGTCTGGTGACCCTTCCTCAGAATTTTGTATCTAATTGGCAAGCTCGCCTTGAATCTCATGTTTACCAGCCCTATTATATGCATATATGTCTATATTTTCCAGGTGCCATACCTGATATTTTCTATACTACTTTTAGACACATTCACTGTGCTATAGTCAATTTAATGTATGTAAACTATTGTGCATCAAATCTCAATGCTCTTGAAGTATCACACTTCTTCAAATATAGTTTACTTATGGTCATTCAGTCCTTTTTTCCTCCAATAAAGTCAAATTATTCCTTGCCTCTGTGTGTGTGTAAAATGGGGGGAGATGGGGTGGGGTGGGGCCTGGGAGTGTGTTACCTCTGACTCCAGCATTGGCAGTTCTTACTATCTCTGGGTCTGGAAAAGTGATAGGATTTTAGCTGTAGAGAAAAGTTGGGCGAAGGAGGAACAAGTGGAACCAATGGCTAAGGTGCCCCACAGCAAAAGGCAAAGTGAGTTCTAATTGTAATAAGGATGGGATATATATGAAGAATAGGTGTTTAATAGCAGAAAAATGTCAGCTCAAGTGAGAGCAAATCCACGCAGACAACACATGGTGTATGGGGAGATGGAATACAGAGTTCATGGGCTGAAGTTGTCAAACTTGATGTTGTGTCCTTTGTAATGTACCGTGCCTACACAGAAAATGAGGTGCAGCTTGCATTGGGCTTCCCTGGAACATTGCATAAAACCTAGGACAGAATGTTGTATGGCAGGAAGAACATGTACTGAAATGACATGTGACCAGAAGATCAGAGTCGTTCTTACAGTCAGAGCAGAAGTGTTCTCCCAAGTGGTCACTCAGTTTGCTTTTGGTCTCGCCAATATAGAGGTGAACAGTGAATACAGTAGGCTATATTGAAAGAATTACAAATAAAATGCTGATTCACCTGGAAGGTATGTTTGCAGCCTTGGATGGTGAAGATGAAGGAGGTAAAGGCCAAATGCAATTGCACAGGAAGGTGCTATTGGAGTGGGTAGCATTGGTGAAGTGATGTTGGCATTGGAGCACTGGACCATGATGTGGAGACTACCGACCCTATGGAATGCCGCAGGTCAGAGAAAGGGAAGATATTTTTGCTGGCGTCCTGTTGGAAGTTGTGAAAATGGCAAATGTTACGGTTCTCTTTATCCCCATTTCCTACCCTACCAGCCTGACATTCAAAGGATCATTCTGGGACATTCCTCCCACCTTCACCCAGTTTCAGCAAGATGCCAACACCAAATACATCTTCCCCTCCCTTCCCCTGTCACGTTCTGCAGAAACAATTCCCTCCATTCCAGGAAAAAAACCAATGTAAGTTGGAGGAACAACAGCTCGTTTTCATTTTCAGCTTCACACTGAGCAAGCTTAAGGACTCCGCATGGAGTTTGACAACTTCAGTCCGTGAGCTCTGTTCTCCATTTTGATCCTCTTTCTTTCTCTCTCTGCACCCTCCTCCTCAACCCCATCTCCCAATACCATGTCTGCATGGGGTTGCTCTCACTCGAGCTGACCTATTTTCTGCTGTTAACACCCACTCTTCATCCATATCTCTGGCATCATTAGCACTCCCTTTGCTATGAGGCACCTTTTCTATCTGTTCCACATACCATTGTGAAACCTTATTTGTTTAAATGTTGTGCTTGTTTAATTATTAGTACAGTTGTAGAATGATTGGATATGAAACTCTTGGATATTGACACATCTCTGTAAGAAGAACTGCACTTATTTATCCGAAGTCTGGACAATGTTATGGCAGAATGGATTTACCATTGTATGTCCTGCCTAAGGGACAAGCTAGATAAGTATGGGAGAGAAAGAAACAGAAAGAGATATGCAGATAGTGTGAGATGATGGAAGGTGGGAGCAGACTCCCACTGAGTACATACAACAGCGTAGAGCTCTTGAGGTTAAATGACCTGATTAGGTAACAAGCAGAGGCTGCTGGAAAAACTTGACAGTTCTGGCATCTGTGGAAAGAGAAACTGTTAACATTTTTAATCCAGTATGGCTCTTCCTCAAAACTGAAGGGTTCAGTTTCTGCACATATGTTACATGCATAGTCTTTAAATGGTCCAAGTCCTCCAATAAAATATACACTTCACTGTTAGCTGTTCATGTGGTGTCTGCTCATTTCTGGACTGAAGTTCTTTCTCCAAGAAAATAATTCCATGGTGAGTGCTATTGCCATTGTAACCGTTTCAGATTCACTATCATTGATGGGAATAGTGATTCTCTAGGACTTACAGTCATTCTGTACTCTGTGTCATTGATGAAATCAATTCTTCCAAATCATCCATCTGTGATGAAGGAACAGCTTCTCCAGTTGTATGCACATATTTGCTTCTGTATGTCATCACATATGATCAGGGAGCCATAGTACCTCAGCAGTGGCATTGTCGTCATTATTGGATTCGAGTGAAAACTGTTGCTTGCGCTGTTCTCCATCACATGTATGATCTTGGCAGTGAGTTTGCAAGAAGGCTCATGCCCTGATGATAACTGACCTCTCTAGCAGTTGCATCAGATTATGGTTTATGATAACTTCTTCACATCCATAATAGCTTCTACTCCAGGAAATACAATGACTCACTTGTGCTGTCTGAGTTGATATCCTTCTGGACTAGTGGAAATGCCAAACAGCATACACAACGATTTGTGTCTTCCAAATGGCATCCAAAATGTAGTTTAAAAGCTGCTACTCTCATCTAGCCTCACTTGTCAGCCATTCTTCACATTGAAGGTAGCATAGACCTTGGCAAGTTGTGGCAATATTTCTTTAGTGGTTGGTTAAAATGTTTTGGTTATATGCATATTCTGTTTACCTGATTTTTTATTTCCCCACTGGTGTAGGAGTTGTCACTTTTTTGATGACTCTCTTCTTTTCCACCTCTTATGTCTTTCGGGCTGGACTTGAGGCCAGCTGGAACACACTGGCAGATCCTGGGTTGGTCTTGTATTTCATTTTAATTTAAGGTTGTATTCACCAGGAAAACAGCCAAGACCTCTCAAAATCATGGTTGCGGTCTTCAAGGATCTGTTCAGCAGTCAATAGCTGAGCAGGCTGCAAAATGATGCAAACACATCTAGGGTTACTAGTCTAAGCTTTAGACTTGCTTGAGTTAAGATGAGTGGATTTCGCTTAACGTGTGCGATCTGAAAC